TCTTCCTGGGAGGTGTAAGGACAGCTCTTAGTTGGAGATGAAAATGGATGTTGCTTATCCTATTCACCACAGCCCTGAGGCACTTTGAGTTATTTGGTCCCAATGCACATTGTGCAGAACCTATTCCTGCCAGTCATTTCTTTCATATTTCATTTCCCCAAGGTCTTCACAGAATCACAGTATGGTTTCTTTTGGAAGGATTTTGAAGATCACCTAGTTCCAACCCCATGCCATGGGCAAGAACACCTTCCAGCAGACCAGGTTGCTCCAAGCCCATCCAACCTGGCCCTGAAGACTCCCAGTGAAGGAGCATCCACTTCTCTGCAGTTTTACTGTCCCTGTGCACTCTGCACACACCACGCAGGTCCTTTCTCCTGCATTCTTTGTCATATAACCTATTTTCCTTGTGGTTTTCAAACCCACACCCTTTATATTAGATACCTCTGTTTCATATACTTCCCCAACCTACTGTTTGGCTTTTCCTTTCAGTATCTCAGTGGTGTCTTCAAATTTTCATTACTGATGTATGCCATCCTTCCCACATTCCCCACGTACTTGGCCTCCTCCAGCTCCTCCGTGCGCTGAATCGCGTCCGTCTCGTATTTGGTTCTCCACTGAGCCACTTCGCTGTTGGCCTTGGACAGGGCTCGCTGCAGCTCCCCCTTGGCTTCCTGCTCCTCCTCATATTGCTCCCGGAGCAGGTCGCAGTCGTGGCGAGCAGACTGCAAGGCGTGGGCCAGGGCGTTCTTGGCCTGGTGGTAAAATGATTGCAATAATAAATAGGTGTATCCCAGGCAATTTTCTTATTGAACTTGGACACTGATATATATATCCCACAGAAATGGTGGGTAACTACATGATAAAAATTAAAGTCTGACCGACTGCTAAAAGCTGGGAGTCCTGCACTGACATGGACTATGCTACACGACCTACTGGGATGCTGTGAACTTTTACCTGGATCATCTTTTGAACTCTTGAACACTGTAACAAAATCAATGTTATGTCAACTGTTTAGTTCATATGTAACATGAATATCTTCACCTTAATCTCTTCTTCTAGTTGTCGCTTCAGTTCTTCAATCTGCTGGGTGAAGGCTTGTTTCCCTCTAGACAGCTGAGAAATTAAAGTATCTTTTTCCTCCACCTGGCGTCCATATTCACCTGGAAAGGTTTGCAATTGAGTAAATATTTTAATCAACAAGAGAGTCATTTATGGGGTTCTCCCATTTCCAAGTTGGTGATACCAGCGCTGTACCTGACTCTGTCTGCAGACGAGCTTTTTGAGCACTGAGATCGCTGATCATGCGCTGATTCTGCTCCTCCTTTGATTTGTACTCACTCAGCTGATCTTCGAGAGTACGGCACATCTTCTCCAGGTTTGCCTGGGTATCAATCACAGATTAAGAAAAGAGAGTTAATACCTTGATCTTCCCCTCATTACAGCAGGAAAATGTGCCCAGAAGATGCAGTTTGCAGATCTGGAGACTATGTGCATATGCCCACAGTGCTCTATACTAGATTTGGAGAAAGCATTTATGTCATAACCTTATATCACATTGCATCCAAATTCCTCATAGAAGGAATTCCATACCTTGGCTTTGGAGACAGACTCCATGTTACTGGCCAGGTCATCAATCTCCATCTTCATCTCACTCTTCTCTTTCTCCAGTTTCTGCTTGACGCGTTGCAGGTTGTCGATCTGCTCCCCGAGCTCAGCGGTGCTGTCCGCGTGCTTCTTGCGCAGGGCGGCAGCCGTGGCCTCGTGCTGCAGCGTGGCCTCTTCGAGGTCACGGCGCATCTTCTGGAACTCTGCCTCACGCTTCTTGTTCATCTCAATCTGAGCCGTCGTGGCCCCTCCTGCTTCTTCCAGGCGCTCGCTGATCTCCTCAAGCTCCCTGGACAGGTCAGCCCGATGCTTCTCTGCTTTAGCACGAGAGGTTCTCTCGGCCTCAATTTCCTCCTCCAGTTCCTCAATACGAGCCTGGAGAACATCAGGGACCCTTCACACCAGTGCCCTTCTCCTACCTGAACTGAGCCTGGGGCTGAGAGGGCAAGGAACAGAGACTTGCCTGCAGCTCCTTGATCTTCTTCTGAAATTGCATGCCCAGAAGTTGCTCATCCTCGATTTTGCTCTGGATCTGG